AGTAGCAGCTCTTCTCCACCAGCAGAGGAGGATGAGGCCAAGAATGTAGCACATCCTTTGGGCCCAGAAATTCCTGCTCCAGCAACACCTAGGGTGGGAGCCGCCACAGCTGAATGACACCAACATGAGAAGGAGCTCCTTTGGGCCTGCTACTCGCCACGGACAGAACCAGAGCTAAGCTTGGGGGTAGAGGGAGGGTGTGTGAATACTGGCAGCAGTGAGAACTTTGTTAACAGTGGCCTAAAGCCATGAGGCTCTACGCAGAGGTACTTGTAAGCACATTTCATAAGCTGTCCTGAATGAGTTGAGTGTATTTGGCTACTAGCCTAAATTACATAAAGCTTTTATGATTCTGTGTGATCTGTGAACTATCACATGAGATTTTGGAACTAGTAAAGCAGTAAGATTGGTGCTGAGACGAGTAGAAAGATGTCTAGGAGAGTGTATGGGACATGTCTGTCCTCATGGGAATTGGTTTTGTGCTATTGATGGTGTTGACAGGGACAGCTCCTCTTTGTGAAGTTGGGAGAGGACAGATACGGCTGTCCCCACATGGCCCTTGCTCTTTTTACTTACTGTTGCCACACTATGCCTACCATTAACCAGTGCTAATAATGCAGGAAGCATTTATGGGCCAGGCACCAAAAAGCAAGCATCGGGATAGATGGCACAAACATTCAAGATGCAGCGATTTCCTTTTGTTTAGATCCACAATAACTTCATTTTGTTTGGTAACAGCAGTCAAGAAATCAAAAGACATGCTGCACTGGGAAAACCTGCTGTGAAGGGCCTCTCCGAAGCGCTAAAGAGCAAAGGTGCCAGCTGAAGTGTGCCAGCCTCAAGTGTGCCTCCTCTCAAGTCATGGTCATTTCAACTGTTTCCTAAGCACCTGAAAACTGAACAATGAGTAAGAATAACAGAAGAACCAATGGCTGTGGGTTGTGGTTGGGAGAAGAGTACTGACTATCGCCTGTTGTTTATATACCATCAAGTCAGAACTGACTCAGAGTTGACCGTCCAGTGGAGGGTGGGCAGTTGGTGGATTTGAAGCTCACACCTTTGGGCTGCAGAACAGTTCATTACCACTGGGCTACCAGAGCTCCTTTTGAAGGGACAGCAAAACCCCCATTTTTTATAAATCCCCAGTAATGCTAGAGGCAGAAGCGGGCCATAAAAATTCTTAACTTAAGGCAAACACGAATTCCCTGGGTAGTCTTGTCTGTCCTTGCAAAGTAAAGAATTAACTAGTGTCTACGTGACACAGAGGGAGTAAAGGCAGGCAAAGTAGCCAGCCCGTCAGAAGCCGACCCACATGACTGATCCCCCAACCCACCAACCATGATCTCAACCCCCCTGCCTTGACAGGGCACTCAAAGAAAGCTATAAAAGCAATTGGGAGGAGGGACTTGGGGCTTTTTCCCTCACCACCTTCCTGAGGAGGGAGAAAGTCTCCACGTGTGGAATTAATAAACACTCTTGAAATTTTCAGACGTGTGACTGGATTTCCTTTGAGGGGCATTTCATGGGCAGAACACTTTCAGACCCTGTGTTTTTGTTGCTGTTGTTATGTGCCATCGAGTCACTTGCGACTCATAGTGACTCTGTGTACAACAGCTCTGAAAGCTGCTCTTTCGTGAGCCAACTTCATTGTCTCTGACACACCTACCCCCATTACCCCAGTCACTGAATCAATTCATCTCGAGGGTCTTCCTCTCCTGCGCTGTCCCTCCACCCTTCCAAGCACAATGTCCCTCCCCAAGGACTAGTCCCTCCTTGAAACATGCCCAAAGTATGTCAGATGGACTGCCTGACAAGTCTATCTTAAAGGAAGCAGAGTTTGAGTGCTTGTTAAGGACAAGAATGGTGACATTTACTCTCACATACTATAAGCGTGTAATGAGAAGGGCCAGTCTTTGGGAAAAGACATGATGGGAAAGTGGAGGGTCAGAGCAAAAGAAGACCCACAATGAATGGGCTGACAATGACCGTGACAAAGGGCATAAACATGACAAGGATGATAGGCACCACACAGGATAGGGCAAGGTTAAGGTATACCGTGCAGAGGGTCGTTGGGAGTCCAGTCAACTTGATGGCACTTAACAACAACACACCAAGTACCACCTTTACACGAATAATCCTTGTAACTGTCGTGAGGTAAATCCTATTGTTAATCTCATTTAAAAGAGAAAAAAACTGAGTTAAAATTAAGAAAAATGTCTCCAATCAGAGAACGGTTCTATCTAGGGCCTCTGTTCTTACTCATAATTACTTTGTGACTTGTTTATCTTTGTGAATAATAGCCTAAAATATTTCCAGGTTGAAAATACATCTTTTGGGGTTTTTTTCATCCTATCAAAGTCTGTAATAGATTTTCAGAATCCACCCAATTATCTCCTGCTTTACAGTGTTCAGATTGTTTCTGATTATTAGTATAAGACCGTAATAGCTCTCTTATTCTGTATAATTTGAGGACATGTCATAATTTTTATGTCGAAAATTTTCTGGCATAGGTTTGTCAGGTCACAGGATACTGCATGGCTTGGGGCTGGGGGATGTCTCATTCTTCATTCTTTACTGCCAAATAAGGGTATTTGTTTCCAAAGCATGTTAAGAAATTTAAAAAGGGAACAAAGTTAGCTGTTCTTTGTGAAGCTCGTTGTGCCGCAGGCGTTCACGTGTGTTTACACGCTCAGAAAAGGACCAATCTGCTCAACTGAGAAAGCAGACGCTGTTTGAAATGTTAATGGATGTAGAAGAGCAGCCTTTCCCAATCAACACCACACCCGGCCCAAACCCAGAACTTCTGGAAGCTTCTGGAGCCTCGTCACATTTCCCGAGGTGATTCCAAATGGGCAAGTGCTCCCAAACCTCTGCGGGAAGGTGAGTTACAGCACCTTTAGAGTCTCTCCTCTGCCCAGTTACTTTACAACTCTGAATCTGTATTATTCTTGACACCCATTAAATGGACCTCATGATGGAACTTACGGGAAGTCCCTTTGTGAGTTAGCGTGTGTGCTCGCTCTCTTTCTCTGTGTGACTCTGTCTCTGTCTCTCTCTGTGTCTCTGTCTCTCTCTCTCTTTCTGTTTCTCTCTGTGTGTGTCTCTGTCTTTGTCTCTGTCTCTGTCTCTCTCTCTCTGTGTCTGTCTCTCTCCTGAAACCTTTTGTAACAGTTCCTTCTTCAGGTTACTCGTTTGCAGTAACTTGCTCAAGAGAACACACTATCTACGTTTTGGCTCTTTTGGTTTTACAAACTATTTCTCATCTGAGTATAAAATAAGAGTTTGCGGTTGGGCCTAACACCATGCCGACCCTGGAGGGTGATGTCACACTATTTGGTATCAGCAGGAAGCTCAAGAGAAAGACAAAAGCAAAGATGAAGTCATGGCGGGAGTGCATCTCCCTAAGCTGCTGTATGTGCCCTCGAGTTGACTACGACTCACAGAGACCCCCTAAAGAAGCAGCACGAACCCTGCCCTATGCCGCGACCTCCTCACCATCTCCAACACACTTGGACCCTTTGCTCTACACACTATGTCAATCCGTCCTGTTGAGGGTCTCCTCTCTTGCATTGACACTCCACCTTTCCAAACATGATGACTGTTTTCCAAGGACCAGCCCCCCCCCCCCGGACAACATTCCCAAAGTGTGTGAGACCAAATTTCAACCTTGTTGCCTCCAAGGGGCATCTTAGTTTCACCTTCTCCAAGAAAAACCTTTTCATCCTCTTGCCAGTGCATGGGATATTCAGTCCTCTTCTCCAACACCCCAGCTCAAAGGTATCAACTCTCCTGTAATCCTCAGCCATTGCCCAACTTTCAGATGTGTACACAGCTACTGAAAGGACCACAGCTTCCATCAGGTGACCCTCAGTCTTTAAATCAACATCATTAGGACCAAACACCTTAATATTTACATAGTTAGTTACTTAGTCACATAGTGTAAAGCTACAAGTTCTCAGTACCAGGCAGTAAACGTGCTTCTGGAGACTGGATAACAGAAGGCAGGAAAGTACAAGTACTAGTCCAAGACCCCCAGTTGGTGGCATCTTAATAAGCAGGGGCTACATTCCCATGAACAAGCTCTGGTGGTGCGGCGTGTTGCATGTTGTGCTGCTAATGAGGTCCGAATCAACTCTGTGGCAGTGGACCTAGTGTTGGAACTTCCTCCCTTCATTTTAACCTACTCGAGTACAACTTTAAGTTCATGTTTAAGCCTGTGAACTTCTAAAAGGGAGTTTAGCCCTGTCGAGCAAATGCTGCAGAGTCCTAGGCTGCCACCCTGATGACAATCTTCTTACCTTACAGAGACGGAGAAGAAAGGTGGAAAGGGAAAGAGGCAAGGAAATGTCCACCAAACACTATGAAAGGACAATGATGAATAACAATGACCAGTTGAGGCGGGAACCTTAGAACATGGAGCTAGAGAGGAGTTGAGAATGGGAGAAACGCTTAGACCTGAGGAGAGAACCAACTGGTCCATTTTTCAAGCCTGGGCTCAAAGATGCTCAGGGCCCCACCGGAATAAAGCAGTGTCTTCAACACATTATTCTGATTAGCTCAGTAATCACCTTTCGTTTAATTTGGCAATGGTCAGTTTCAACCCAGCTCCTGGAAAAGGGGGCCCAGGGGAGCAGAGACGATGTGAACAGTGCAAGTTCTGCCCCCCACACAAAGCACTCGCTAGAGGACCATAAGACTAGTGGGAGTCATTAGTAAAGTACTGTACTGCCAATCCAAAAGTAGGCAGTTCGAATCCACTGGTGGCTCAGCGAGAGAAAGATGGGCCGTTTCCTCTGCAATTTGCTAACTCTGAAAACGTGCTGGTGTGTCCGCCGTGTCATCCTAATTCCTTGGGACACAAGAGCCACAACAACAGTGGGACTAGCTGTTCTGCTTCATCTTGAGGTAAAGTGCATTCGAGTCTGGCGAGGCCACAGAAGTCATTTGGAGGCTCAAGACCGCAAAGCAGTGGCCAGAGTTTCCTGGATTTCGCAACTTACCTAGGGCATGGCTACAGCTGCGGCAGGACTCCGTCAGGCTGACGATGATCTGTTGCAGGTCAGCCCGAGGGGGGGTCGGCGAGGGGTTGGGGTTTTTCCAGCCATTACATTTACAAGACTCTTCGGCCTGTAAAAGGAATAGAAAGAGGGAGGGGGCACAGTTATGAACAGGCAGCCACACAGATTGTTTTACGTGAGAACAAAGTATGCTGGTTACATGATAGCCACCCCCCTGCTGACTTGGGAGTTCTGCATAAACACACCAGTGGCAAGAACAGAGCGAAGGCAAGACTGGGGGGGAAGGGGGTGTGAGCTGGACAATCTGGGGTTTTGTCTGGTTTTGCTGCTGGCGGGATCTGCGTGCTGGAGCTCAGAAAGCTGGCCCACGTGGCTGCCACCGCCCCGCGCTGCTGTGTGCCCAGTGGTCAGCTCCAGGACAAAGGCCACCCAAAGCCACAAACAGCCTCCTGAGGCCCCACAGACACAGTATGGGCTGCTGCCAGGACCGAGGCTTGCAGACACCCAGGCTCCGGAGCCCTGTTCCAGGGATAGGGAAACCAGCTGAACTGAGAGGAGGGACAAAGTCATGGACCAGGCCTGGGGCCTTGCTGCTGAAGGCACCCTTGGAGGCTCTCCCAGTCCTCCATGGCCTCCAGCCTCTGAAGGAACCCGGGATGGAGCTGGGAGTTTCCACCTACACATATTCATTCTTGACTTTCACCGACCCACCGGAACTCCCTGGGAGCCACACTTGACAGGAAATATTCCTGGGCTACGTCCACTATCTTCCCACTTCCCTGCCTCCCTAGAGACCTAGATGCCTTTTAGGTTATAAAGTTATTATCATTATTATACAAGGCGACCTTCCAGGCTTTTCAATCACCTGCTATGTATCTGAGAGGTGGACCATGACTAAGAAGACAGAAGTAGAGATTCCAACGGACTGTCAAATGAACAAAGAGATAGCGTCTTAGACAGAGGAGCAGCCAGAGTGCTCCAGGGAGGCAAGGATGCTGAACGTTCATCTCACACACTTTACACATGTTGCTAGGAGACGCTGTTCAATGGAAAGGGTCATCATGCTTGAAAAGTGGAGGGTCGGCAAAGGAGAGGAAGACTCTCAACTAGGTGGACTGACAAGGTGACTGCCATTGACAAGGTGATTGCCACAAGGGGCTCAAGTATGTCCAGAGACGGTGAGGATGGCACAGGACACGACAGGCTTCAGATGTGCTGTTCACGGGGTCGCTGTGAGTCAAACTCAACTGCACTTAACAGCCACCACCTTCCAGATTAAAACAGATTAGGAGGAAAAGCCTGGTAATCTGCTCCCCCAAATCCTAAAAACCCCCTACAGACCCAGCAGTCTGATCCACAGCACCCCTCGGGGAGGGGGCAGGAGCAGGTAGCAGTGGACTCACTGTGTACACGGGCGCTGCATGAGTCAGGGCTCTGGAGATGACAGGGATCGAACCCAGAGCTTTGTACAAGCAAAGGACGAAGATGTGCTCTACCACTGAGCTCCACCCTCACACGTCTGCAGGGCTGTATCCTAATAGCTTATATCCATATCTACTCAATCTATATGCTGAGCAAATCATTTGAGAATCTGGACTCTGTGAAGCAGAATGTGGCATTCGGAATGGAGGAAGATTCATCAACGACTTGCATTATGCAAATGGCACAACCTTGCTTGCTGAAAGTGAAGAGAATTTGAAACACTTGCTGCAGAAGATCAAAGACTTACAGCCTTCGATATGGATTATATCTCAACATCAAGAAAACAAAACTCCTCACCCCTGGGCAACATCATGACAGATGGAGAAAAGACTGAAATGGTCAATGATTTCTTCTAACTTGGATCGAAAATCAACACCCCGATACTAGAAGTTAAGAAATCAAAAGACGCATTGCATTGGGGAAAATCCATAGTTAGGGCTAAAGAGAAATGATGTCAATTTTAAGACTAAGGTGTGCCTCATTCAAGTCAGGATCTTTTCAATTACTTGTTATGCATCTGAAAGCCGGACAACGGCTAAAGATGACTGAAGAACCAATGCATCTGAGTTGTGGTGCCGGAGAAGAGTAATAACTATTCCAGAGACTGCCAAAAGAACACGTACGTCCGGAAGAAAGTGCAACCAGGGTGCTCCTTAAGAGACAGAGATGGTGGAACTTCCTCTCGCATACCATGGGCACAGTGAGGAGGGACTGGTCCTTGGAGAAGAACAACATGCTTGGAAAGGTCAGCAAGAGAGTAGAAGATTTATCCTCAACAAGATGGATGGACACACAGACTGTATCAGGGGGTGAAAGTGTATCAGAGATGGTGACGATGGCACAGGACAGGGCAAGTTTCAGATCAGCTGTTCACAGGGTGGCTATGACTTGATGGCACCTCGTGAGGACAAGAGCATGAATCAGGCATGAACTTGACAGCAGTGAAACCACTCCAGCCTCACAGGGGGCCTCCAGGAAACGGTCAAGGTGTGGAAGACCGGCGTGCTTGTGCGGAATGTGCCCAGCCAGTAAAAATTGTTCTGCTCCTTCAGGACCAGCCTTTACCACTCCATCATTCTCATTTAATTCCTCTTTCAAATCTCCTATAAAGGGAAACCAAGGAATAAAACAGAAGAACATGTGCCACGAGGGGCTGATTCATTCTCGGTGAGGGTGTGGGTAGTTATTATTACTATTATTCTTTTCATCAGCACCGCTTTCACAGGAGTGTTCTGGTACTTAACATGATCCAACATGGCAACCAGGAGGTACAGAGGCAACTGAATGCTTGGTATGTGACTACTTTGCATATTTAATTAGTAAAAATACCCTGATTTTTATGTTGATTACATTCTAACATGGTAACATTTTGGATATATGGGATTAACTGGGAAAAATATCATAAAACTGTATTTCACTCATATCTCTTTACGTTCCTCATGCGGCTACCAGGACAGTAAAAACCACCCCCGTGCCTCACAGTCTATTCCTCCTGGACGGTCCTAGCCTAGAAAACAAAGTGCAGGGACTTTGGCACGTGGCCTCTCTGCTAGAGCCTCCGTCTCTCTCCTTTGGTATCAGGTTTGGTTTTCTTCTTCCCGTTTAACAAACAGCTAAAGTGAGAAGCAGCCTGATTCACAGGAAATTACAAGAGTAGCTGCTGCTTGAATGTTTCCTGAGACAGGAGCCTTTTCTGAGGGGATGCACATGTCTAGAAGACTAAGAAAAGAAAGAATAAATGACTGACATGGTGGGAAAGATCAGGAAAGAAGGGAGGAAATCTGCTTTTGAAGTCCCAACAAGAAAAGTAAATATGGCAGGTCTGAGAAAGAAAAATCTCCACCACAAATGTTGGTGTCTGGAGGACTGTATTCCAAACCAAAGAAATGCTACACATATTGACTCTTTCTTTCAACAAATATTCAACAGAAGGCCTGCGATGTGAGGGAACAAAGACTGCTTCCCTCATGGAGCTTACACCGTGGGGAGAGTGGGAAGGTCAGAAAAAAGAACCATAAATAAGTAAACTAGATACAGCGTACTATATATATACATGCAAGAGCCTGTGGTGATGAAGGAGGAAGTTCAACTTGCTCTGAGGGAATTGGCAAAAAAACAAGGCTCCAGGAGTTGATGGCATACCAATTGATTTATTTCAACAAACAGACGCTGCCCTGGATGTGCTAAGTTGTGCCAGGAAATCTGGAAGACAGCCAGCTGGCCAACTGACGGGAAGAGATCGGTATTTGTTCCCATTCCAAAGAAAGGTGACCCAACAGAGTGTGGAAATTATCGAACAATATCATTGATATCACATGCAAGCGAGATTCTGCTGAAAATTATCCAAAAACGTTTGAAACAATATGTCAACAGAGAACTGCCAGATGTGCAGCCTGGATTTAGAAGAAGTCGTGGTACTAAGGGTATTATAGCTAATATTAGATGGATCTTGGCAGAAAGCAGAGAATACCAGAAGAATGTCTATCTGTGCTTCATCGACTATGCAAAGGCTTTTGACTGTGTGGATCACAATAAGCTATGGCTGACTCTAAGAAGAACGAGAATTCCAGAACATTTGATTGTGCTAATGCGAAACCTATACTTGGACCAAGAGGCAGTCATCAGAACAGAGCAGAGAGACACTGGATGGTTCAAAATCAAGAAAAGGGGTCCATCAGGGATGTATTCTGTCTCCATACCTTTTCAATCTGTATGCAGAACAGATCATCCAAGACGCTGGGATGTAAGAGGAGGAATGTGGCATCAGGATTGGTGGAAGAATCTCATCAACAACCTATGTTATGCAGATGACACAACCCTGCTTGCTGAAACTGAGGAGGACCTGAAGCGCTTGCTGCAGAAGGTCAAGGACTGCAGTCTTCAATATGGATTGAAGTTCAATATCAAGAAAATAAAGATTCTCACCACTGGGCCAATTGGCAGCATCAGTGTGGATGGTGAAGAGATTGAGATAGTTACCAGTTTTAGTTTACTTTGTTCCACAGTCAACGCTCTTGGTAACAGCAGCCAGGAAATCAGAAGAAGAGTTGCCTTGAGAAAGTCAGCTGTGAGGGACCTCTCAAGAGTACTGAAGAGCAACGACATCAGGCTGGAGACTAAGGTGCGCCTGATCCAGGCTATAGTCTTTGTAATTACATGCTATGCATCAGAGAGTTGGACAGTGAATAGGGTTGATAGAAAGAGAATTTTTTTTTATATTTTATTTTTTTTTAATTATATTTTATTAATTTTCATAAACATTTACAGAGATTTTGGGCTTCCACTCATTCATTGTTGCACTATTCTCTCTACCCTCCTCCCAGTTTGTTCTTGTCCAAATGCCACAGTGCTTGTCAAAGCCAGTTCTGATTAATCTTCTTTGTCAGTGTATCCTTTGCCATTCCCTATCACTCCTCCCTGAGAGAGACTTCACCCTGAGTCATAAGGAAAAGGGGACGGCGTATTCTCTTAGCTACTTCCTGCTGAAAAGGGACGCTGTGAGAAAGAGAATTGATGCTTTTGAGCTGTGGTGCTGGAGAAGAGTGTTGGACTGCTAGGAGAACAAACAGGTTTGTCCTGGAGAGGGTGAAGCCAGAACGCTCCTTGGAGTCAAGGATTCTGAAGCTT